AACCCTAAAAAGAAATACGAACCCGCTTTAGCACCCTACAAAATCCGTTTACATTTGCTTACCCTTATTTTAGGGAGTTTTCAAACTAAAGACCATTCAAGGACTAGGTCAACAAAAAGTACGTTGGAAAATCACGAACACCTAAAATGGAGACCGCGTGTTTAAGAATATTCGACCACTATTTTAAAAGTTATCAACTCACCTAGAGCTTTCACACGACACACTTAATGCTTTAACCGGCCCTGAGCCATTAAACCAGGAGAATTACTACACATCTATGGAATTCTATCCAAATTTTAAGCCAAAGCTTACTCCAAACCAAACGGCTTCAGCGATAAAACGGAAAAGGAAGCGTAAACCTTGTTAAGTGCGTAGAAGATTATTTAAACAAAAACAACACAGTGTTGCCAAAGTTATAGTTATAAGAGAGTGTTCTGGGTTGCATACTATCAAAACAAGGTAATAAACAAAAGAATAAAAATAATTAAATTCTTTTGGAAAGAGGCAACAAAACAAATATCCTTATTAAAAATATACTTAGCAATTAGTCAAACTAAAAATAAACCACTTAACAGTTCACATCTATACCGTTATAGATGTACCTACAAAAACTAATAAAATAAAATCAATGGGTAACTGTCAAAATGACGGTTACAATCATTAAGCTTACATTTAAATTAATTGTTAGAAAACATATATGTTTAATTTCAAATACATTTGGAATTATAACATCTTCAATTTGTAAGGAATTTGTTTGAAAACCACGTGTTTTAATAAGTACTTATTTCGGCGTAGAATTTTAGTTTTGGCATAAACAATATTTTTAATATATATGTAAGAATAGACTTATTATTTCTGTGGTACTCTTTACTATAGTATACAGGTTGTTTTTATTAAAATAATTCCTTTTAGAGTTATAAAGTTGTGTGCCGTAAACGGCTAATAACCAGTAAGTTAAAGCTCAGTAAAATTTGACAAAGCAGGTAAACTAAACTAAAGTGTACACGAGAAAAAGGAAAACAAAAAACGCGAATGAAACCAGAGGTTTGCAATTAAAAGCAGATGTTTGCAGATGTTCGCGGATAAAAGCAGATATTTGCGGATAAATGCAGATGTTTGCGGATAAAATCAGATGTACACAATCGTTTGCGATTAAAATCAGATGTTTTCGGATAAAATCAGATGTTTGCGGATAAAATCAGATGTTTGCGGATAAAATCAGATGTTTGCGGATAAAAGCAGATGTTTGCGGATAAAATCAGATGTTTGCTTATAAAATCAGATTTTTGCGGATAAAAGCATATGTTTGCGGATAAAATCAGATGTTTGCGGATAAAATCAAATGTTTGCGGATAAAAGCAGATGTTTGCGGATAAAAGCAGATGTTTGCCGATAAAAGCAGATGTTTGCGGATAAAATCAGATGTTTGCGGATAAAAGCATATGTTTGCGAATAAACTCAGATGTTTGCGGAAAAAAGCAGATGTTTGGAGATTAAAACAGATATTTGCGGATAAAAGCAGATGTTTGCGGATAGAATCAGATGTTTGCGGATTAAAACAGATGTTTGCGGATTAAAGGAGGCATTCGCGGATAAATGCAGATGTTTGAGGATTAAAGCAGACGTTCACAGATAAAAGCAGATCTTCGCGAATAAAAGCAGATGTTTGCAGGTGAAATCGGATGAATCAGACTTTTGCGGACTAAATTAGATGTTTGCGGATTAAAAGAGATGTTTGTGGATTAAAGCAGATGTTCAAAGATAAAAGCAGATCTTTGCGGATATAATCAGTTGTTTGCAGGTGAAATCGGATGAAGCAGACTTTAGCGGACTAAAGTAGATGTTTGCGGATGAAATCAGATGTTCGCGGATGAAAGTAGATCTTCACGTATAAAAACAGATGTTTGCAGGTGAAATCGAATAAAGCAGACGTTTGCGGATTAAAGTAGATGTTTGCGGATAAAATCATATAAAGCCGGGTGAATGCAGATACAAACCCTAATACAGGTATTTGCGGATGAAACCAGATGAAAGCAGACATAGAACTAAATAGATAAAACCCGACGTTTACGGATAATATTTATACCCGCAATTCCAGATAAAAACCGACATGCCGTGTAAAATCAGATATGTCGGATGAAAAGAAATATAAATGGTCATAAAACCAGCTTGGTTTTTTATCCGCAATCATCCGATATTACCCGTCTTTTTCAGCAGGGTAGTTTAAAGGTCATAAAAATTCGTACCAACATAAAATGACGTTGGCTTAAAGAGGAGCGGGTAAATATTTTCCGGGGATGGGGCGCTAAGGCTTAAGTCACTTTAAGGGATAAACTTGACGATTTGAAAGGCCTGAAAAAAACTTGGGGTTACTATAAAGCATGGGGCGCGATTTGCGGCCAGTAGTGCCAAATTCATATATACACTATAATTTGTTAAATACCCTAATTTCACTGTAGGGAGGTGAAAAAATCACAGATAAACAACAAATCCGTGCTTGTTTTAGATGTATCAGGTAAAAATTCAAAGATATTTAATTTTCAATTTTTGGAGCATCCCATTAGAAAACACCCTGTATAAATTTAAAAAAATGGAACTTTTAAATACTTAGGTACATCTTCAAAATATTAAAATTAATAAAAAATCTTCAATTTAGAACATGCATGTGAAATTATGCCAAAACGCTGGAAAAGTAGGAATTCACATGCACGACTGCAATTTGACCATATTTCCTGTGATTTTTCACGCGGGCTAGTAAATTTATAAAAGGCTAGTTACATCGAATAGTAATATTACTGCTCACAGTGCAGTGTCCCATTCACCAAAAGCAATATTACTACGATATGATCAGTAAATTTTAGTTAGAAGCTTGTAATTTTACTACGCTGTGAGCAGTAACATTTTTTAGTAGACCCTATTAAATTTAAAGAGGTTTACTGTGTATTGGACTTTATTCGTTTCACAGAACATAATTCGTTTTCACAACTCATTTTAAGATTTTTAATAATACTGCATATAGAAATGTCACCGACACTGTAAAAAGCGACAAGCCATAGAAACCAACTATCAACAACTCCAAATGTTGTCGCGTTTAAATTCTATTTTTTACGTTTTCAAATTCATGTTTTTGTATTACAATGTGCCTTTTGATTAAAATAAAAATAATTATAAAATCAGTTAGAAAATTGTCGGTTTTTTAAATCAAATGTAATAAAATAACAAAGTGAAAAATAATTATTAATCAACCGCGCATAGACCGTCAATCGAACACGTGCACGCATTGGTTGGATGATTTTCAACAGAAATAAAGAAGGTTGATTAAAATTGAAAATTATTATTTAAAAAAATCACTATGGAATGTTTGTGCTGTGTTAAAAATTGTTTTAATTTGTCAAGGGATAAAAAACTTGCACATCAGTTATTTGAAATACCACCAGTAAGTGTATAACGAAACATTACAGTGTGATGATTACACCAAAGAACTTGCAAAAAACTGATTTTACATTGAATTTATACGTGAAAATGCATTACTGATGACCAAATTAACATCATTACAGTTTAGGTTCTGTCTGCTCCATCTGCTCCAACGACAGTAATACTGATTAGTTCATAAATTTACTCACTGTTTAAACAAACTGTTCTGTTTACTAATAAGAAGATTGTATTATAATATAAAATATTATAATATAATTAAATTATAATATATATTATTTACGACAGATGCACAAAATAATAGAGGTTAAAAAGATACCCTCTTTATCTCTGCAAAGGATAGGAGGGGAAATGCGCAGAACTCAATTTTGCGTTCTTGGTCATTGTACACGTGCGACATTCTTATGGACCCCCCTCTCGAATTTATATGAAGTTGAAGGTCCTGAATATAATCTCCTTAAGTACTGCAATTTAAAGTTAACATGGTTAACAGATGTATTTTTTGACAGTTTCTGTCAGGAAACCCACACTTTAAATCATCATTGTTATTATTAACAAATTTTAACTTAAGTTATTTGTATTTTTAAAACGTCATTAGATATTGCGTTTATTCCTTTTATGCATATAAATAAATATTCTTACAAAATTAAACAAAGAAAATAAAATTTAATTTTTAAATCCTTTTAACTGTAAAACTATTTGTCAGAACAATGTTTTTATTTTTTTGTATACTTAAAATAACCCCCCTATAACGTGGTATACCGTTGGTGAGCCATTTTCCGGACACCCTGTATATTCATATATTGGAATTTGTATTTTAATTTTTAAATGAGTGAAACAATTAACAAAAAATGCATGTATTCTATCATAATTCACTTCCCAACATTGATACTTAACGTTTTTTAAATTGAACAAGTACTTGATCTTAGCAGATTTATTAAAGATTTTGCATCACGATCAGACGTGTCGCTTCGAGCGCGCCCGGTTGAGGCGGGCTGCGCCGGCTTACAAGCAAATGCCATTCATAGGTTAATTAAATTTTCAAAATTTTTGTTCTCGCTTTTTATTCGGAAGACTTGAAATGAAACATTGAGAAAATTATTAAAATTTAAATTGTTTACTATAAACAATTTTTTGTTATAAAAAAAAACATTTTTTTAAATCAAAAGTTTTAAAGAATTTTCATTTGGGGTAATATATTATGAAACGGCATTTTTAAATATTAAAATTATTGTTAAAAATATGTACAAAGAACTATTTTTTTAATACCTTTTGTAATTGTTTTTTCCAAAAATATTTTAGAAATATACTACTACAAAAACCAATAGTTGTTTTTTGTATTCCATAACGTCGTTAAAAAAGTGATCCGTTTCATGAAAAACATTACATTATTTTTTATTTAATATTAGGTTTTTCTTCCTTTTAATCATTTATTGGATCCAGCCTTTATTCTTTTTTTCTGATGCAAAACAATTATTTAAGTTATAAAGAATATCTAACTTAATTTAAAAATCAATATTTAAACATATTTGAGCTCTGTAATTTAAGCCTTAAATTTATAAACTTACCCTTGTAGCATTTAATATCAATTCCTTTAAAATGGAAACGTACATCATATGTTCTGGAAATATTTTTTCAAACTCACTAGTAAAGAATGCTTGTTGATATTTGCTTATCCCTCCTTGGACATTTGCATCTATTATACCTTGAAGTCTCATTGTAAATGGATTTAAATTTCTTTTTGGTTCTAATGTATAAATTTTTATAAGCTGTTTTAATTCTTTTTCTACATTTTGCATAGTTTCACATGCATATTTCACAGGCGGAATTTCTTCAATTTGACGATTTGTTACTTCAAACCATCTAAGAATCCCAGGCAATGTATTTGTAATTTCTAATACTGTTCTTTCAATCCAAAGAGTCTTAGAAAACATAAAACAAACATTGTGTGATGTTTATAAATACAGTGACATAACTTTACAATTCGGGCTGAGATGTTTAAAGTTTCAATAATATTAAACTATATTAATTTATAACTTATGTAAAATACTTACTTTTATTTCATTTTCTTTATCAATTATACCTTTATGTATAGGCCTATCACAATAAAACTTTTTTACATCGTTGTAATAATAATATCTCGAAATCTTATCTGGGATATCAATAGCCTGGGTAATTAGGTTTTCTTTTGGTATGGGTTTAACATTGGTTATTTGAATATCTATAATTTTATTAAGAATTATTACACACATAATTTCATATAATTATGTCTTCATTAAAAAACTTATATATGATTATTTGTTAGTTATATGTATAAATAGAATCACTTTTCATATGAAAATTCAACTCTTATTAAAAGATACAATTCTACAGTAGTATTTATCTTTTAAGAGTAGAATTTCTACTCTTAAAAGATAAATAAGAAAATAATTACAACATTTAACTTAATCCAAACTATAAAGGATACATTGTGCTTCAGAGTTAATAATACTATCATCAGGAGGTGTATTTTTGGTCATTATTTGAGCATTTGGAAATTCAGTTTGTAACCTTTGTGTGAAGGCACTCATTTTTTCGTATTCTAGTCCTCTATACACAAATTGTTTGTTCTAAAATTATTAACATGAATAAAAGGATATATAATAAATTAAGCAGTGAAGAAATATTAAATTAAAATGTGCACAGTCACTAAAATTTGTAATGAACACTTGAAACTACTATATTTAAAAATATTTTATAATAATGTCACTACAAAACATACTATATAATATATTGTGTGTTAAGGAAAGTGAACCATCCCAAGCACTAACAATACTGCGGAAACAAGAACTCTTTATGACCCTTTACAAAATTACTAATTTAAAAGGTATAAAGGAAAATGTTTTTGGATTTTTGTGTTCTTATTTATATTTTCTATATAAGTACTTCATCAAGAAAATAGTGTTGAAAAGCAACTTTTTCATGCGAGTTTTTAAGCTTGAAGAAAGCTTTTCTCACAAGTATAACACAATGTTTTTTCTACGACCCTTTTATTTTTTATTATTTTTAAATACAAAACAAAATAACCTAAAAACTTTTTTGACAGCTGAATGTCAAACGATGCTGTCAATTTCTTTTCACACAGACCTGTCACTTTTCACACAGAAATGTCACTTTACATTCGTGTTTTGCCTTGCCAATGAAAAGATTCATTTTCTAAGCAACGATGCCATCATGAAAAGTGACTTTTACATAGTGGTCGTAGAAAAAAATTATTTGAGATGAATTGGGGAGCAGACTACAAAATAAGTTTAGTCCAAAAATTTTACTATTGAGATAAAGATGGCTTTCTGTTCTTGAAACTAAGGCGCATCTTTTAACGGTACCCTGTACATTCTAAACGCGTCTAGTCCTATGTAAATCTTCGGCGAAAGTTGTACTGGACATTCAAAGTGCATTTTATCTTATACACAGACTATCAAAACGCTTTTTTCCTTTTTTACGCCAGTGTTGCCAGATCACACAGTACAATTTAATTTAATTAAATCACAGGAGAAGTAAATACGTAATTAGATTTGACATCTTTAAATAAAATTAATTAAGTACATTACTGGGACTTTTTTTTAATAAAGTTTTACTTTCTGAAAAGAGCATTTAGGATCTATCTTTTTCAGATTTATGAAATTCTTAAGGGATAAATATTTTTGAGATTAAGTTAATATTAGAGGACTCCTTTTCTAAATTTATTGGCATCTTTAATTCTTCTCCAAGGTTGAAAATTGAATTTGTTTACAAAAAAAATTAAAAACAAACTGCTTAAATAGTTTTTTTCAATAGTCTATTGTATTCATGTAAAGTTCACCAAAGACATCAAACCCAAACTCATTATACCAAACAATTAAACAAAATGTACATGTGATTAATTTTCTAAATAAACATCGCCGAAATATTTAGTTTTAAAAATTAATTATTACAAATCGATTTATTTTAAATTGTTGAGTGAATTATTGTTTTATTGGTACATATTTAATATCCGTATAGCTTAGGAATTCTGACTCACTACATTTATACCTTTTCATATGTAGATTATAAGCACTCCAAGGTACACATTTTTCAACTTTCCTACCTTGTAAATTTCATTGAACTTTTTTTAAACATAAGTTGTTGAATTTTATGTAATGTAAATAGACTCAACTAAAATTACATGTTGCACCCATGTATGTTTACAAATTGTGTGTATCGCCATTAAAATTAAGTAAAGGCGTGTCACACTGTCAATGTCAAAGTTAAAACCAACATTTTTGCTAAATGGATTTAAATTATTGATTTAGAAGGTAATAATGATTATAAAAACGTGAAATGAGGACAATTATCAAGATGGGGATGTAGATTTTGGATAGAGATAAATATGGATATGGATTGAGAAAGATAAATACAATGTATAAAACTTGGGCCCTGTGCCTGTTGGATATAAATAAATAAATATATAAATAAATTGAACAAAAATTTGTTAAAAGTTACCACTATTTTACTACTATCTTAATAGGGCATCAAGACTTAATAAGTATTGCCAGGGGTAGGATAAGTGAATCACCAATGGTGACTCAGCCGGGGACCACAAAGGTCGATGAAAGCCCCTAACCTCTACCTACCCAAGACCGTCAGTACGTGTCATAAGACACACCCTGCAAAATGTGATGCTGTTCAATGCAAAAGACTGCGGATCTAGGGGACTCAACCCCGAACAAAAATACCCAAATTACCTAGTGTTACGCGAAGCTTGCTAGTGGAGGGAAGGGATAACGGGAACTCTTAGGGCGTGGGCACACCCTTGCAGTAAGGAGCCTCGCCAAAGCTAAGGTGTAAGGCAACGTGCTGAGGGCTGGATAGCCGCAGGGCGCAACATGCGGTCTTTGACGTTCCCCTTGGGATAACAGGCGACCACCCATTGTATTTATCCTTACCCACATAATCCGGCGCTGTGTGGGCGGACCTTTAATTCCGGACTACTCGTGGGATTTATATAGATATACCTAATGCTTATCCGGACGCGATGATCACGGAATCGCAGAGCAAAATAATCATGGGGGCACTAACATTAGGGGAGGAGATCGCTTCCCATAGTTTAAGCAGTTTCGCTGGTCGTCGCAGGGAACCATCACGGTTAAATGCGGGGACCAGTGGACGTTGGACTGGCTGGAGAGGATCATCTCCTCGATCATACCCTGCATAACTGCGCGTGCAGCGGTACATTCCCCGGGGCAATTAAGATGGTAGCAGCTATTGAGGGTCTTCCAGACGACACCCCCACCATCCTTAAGCGACTTCACAGACAGAATCCTGGTTTTAGGACAAATCTGTGGAGGACGTATCATCGAAAAGAGGAGAACAACAGGGTTCTCCTGTTTTTTGGAGTTGACTAGGCTTTAGCCGAGGTCTTGCAGCGTCAAAAATTAAGAGCGTTCGCAGGGGTCTCCTTCGTCACTTTCATGACAAAGGCAAAAGCTTCAGCTGCGCCGGAGAAAGAGACGGCTCCAACCGAGGAGGGTAGTAGCAATACTCCCTTGTCGGAAGGAACGTCAACGCCCGGACCAGATCCGACAGAGTCGACACCAACTGACTCAGCAACACTGGACAAGGAGGTGGCCGAGCTCATGGCTCAGGTGGATCTAGAGGATCCATGGATAAAGAGTCCTCATTTCTACAAAGCAATTTGCAACATAGCAAAGGGGCGATTTCCTTAATAGATCTTCACATAGCTATGGGGCAGACACATGTGGACCTCCTACAAGATCCTTTGTCATACAAGGGTCGCGTAAGAGGCCTAGGTGGATGGAAAAGATCTCTCTTCTATAAGAGGAACGACCAACTAAATCAAAGGGCTTGTATCTACATCACTAATAACTCATTTCTGTTCTAGGGACTTAGTAGCGGTGAAACTATGCTTTAAGGACAGACCAGGACAGAGCACATCCTTGGTGGTATGCTCATCCTATCTGCCCTATGACTCGATAGACGATCCTCCAACAAAGAAAATCATCGATATAGTGGAGTACTGCAGCACACTGGGCCTCCCGCTGATTATTGGATGCGATGCCAACACACACCATATGGTGTGGGAAAGCACCGACACGAATCGGAGAGGGCTCAGCATCTTAGAGTATCTACATACTACGGATCTGGAAATCCTAAATCGCGGCACTACACCCACCTTCGTCACGTCACGAAGACAAGACGTGATATACTTGACATTGTGCTCCCCCTCCATGGCCCCGAAGACAAGAAATTGGAAGGGGTCTGAAGAGCCATCCTTGTCGGATCACAGACACATTCTCTATAGCTTAGACCTAACTCAAGGGGCTGGGCTCAGTAGGTTCAGGAGCCACCGGAACAGTATGTTGAGATGCTGAAGACTAAGCTAGTGGATTCTTCCATGACGTGCCGCAGCACTCGGCAAGAGAAGGAAACAGCCGAATTCGTACGCGATGCAATCATCACATCGGGTCTATCGAGGAAAAAAGAAAACCCATTGGTGGAACTTTGACCTCGATAAGGCTCGCAAGGAAACCCGCAGGCTCTTTAACAGGGCCATGCGTTCTAAATCACCTGCGGATTGGGACAGCCACAAGCAGTCTCAGCGCAGGTACAAAGATCTCATAAGAAGGCCTAAGAGGGAATTTTGGAGAACGTTCTGCGGTAACGTAGACGAGCTTCCAGCATCAGCCAAGCTTCAAAAGATTTTCTTAAAGGATCCAGGACGAGAGCTGGGGACATTAAAACTTCCCTCCGGTGACTATAGCACCACCGCGGAGGAGGCACTTAAATGGCTTCTAAAAACTCACTTTCCGGGCTCAAAAATCCTGCAAAACTGTTAAACCACCAAGGCAAGCTCCACCAGCTGGCGTAAGGCTGTAGTGTCCAATTGGGTTGAAGGGCAAAGTCAGTAATACATCACGTACCTTTTAACACCTTTATTGTTAGTACATCGTAACATCACGACTGGGGAACAACTATGCTGTTGGTGACCTAGTTTGGTCTTACCTAGCACCAGTATTAACCGATCAGCAATTCGTGTACAATACGTGTACTGGCGTGGCCAATACCACGCACTACATCTCCCCTTTCGAGATGAATGGACTTTATTTTGGCCTCAAATAAAGAACATTCATAAACGTTGGTTTTATACAAACACAAATATCAACTAAACCTAAATAAATTAATCCTAGATAACTAAACTTAACAACCACTAACTGACCTAAGATACAAGATAAAATTACGTGTTGGAGTAGTAATTTGCATTTTAGCGTTATTTTATTTGGGGTCTTATTACACTCAATGTCATAACGCTTATCACTTATCTAACAGCTACTTAATCACTTTTGTTTATTTACGCACTCACTTTTACTTCACTATGCAATTTTTTTTATACTAAACTATACTATATTAACAACTTATATAATTTGCAAAAGTAAATACTTAACCTTAGTTTTTATTAAACGGTTTTATTCTATTTTTATGCACCGTTAAGTGTTTACCTTTATATAAAACAGTACAATGAGGCGTGTTATTATTCCACATTATGAAAGCGTACGGCAGCTTTTGGATTAAAGCAGTGGAGAGCAGGGTTTAA